TATATATATATCCATATTACACATACACATACACACACACATACATACATATATACACAATATACAATACATACACACACATACAAACATATACATATACATATACATACAACTTTCTATTTATATTAACATATATTATATATAGACAAAATTAAATACATATTCTAATATATATATATATATAAACATTTATTTATATTATCACACATCTTAAAAAATTTCTCTATAAATCATAAAATATACTTAATTTATATATATAAATTCTGTACATAATTATAAAGTTTTAAAATTTTCTGTTTAAATAAAATTTTTGTAGGTCTGATAATTTGATACAAACATGGATTCCAATGGAATAAATTATGACCATGGAATATTAGTGTTTTTTATATTTACCATATATATATATATATATATATATATATATATATATATATACAATATTTCAATATATATATTTTTAATTCATATATATATATATATATATAAAAAAAAATATATATATAAATTCATAAAAATATATATATATATAAATTAAAATATAAATATATATATATTCAATCATATATATTATATATATATAATACAATATATATATATATATATACATAAACATATATATATATATATATAGGAATATATATATATATTTATAATATATATATATATATATATATATATACATATATCATATATATATATATATATATATATAATCATATAATATATATATATATATATATATATATTATTAAAATATATATATATATATATATATATATTATATATATATATATAAATGTTATAGGATATATATGTTTAAATATGTTATAAAAAACTTTATGAAAACCATAATAAGGAGATTTAGGAGTTTGAATAAGAAAAAAGAACCCATTACATTTACTGTTTTGTATTTATTTTTGATAAATATCAATTTTCTTTTTTTTTTTTCTCTGTCCAATATAAGGACAGATATAAAAGTTCTATTTATATAATAAAAACAAATGGTATAGGAGAAGGACAAGTTTCTGAATTAAAAACTTATATTATCGGTTTGTATAAAATTTATATATTTAAAAATATAAGAAAAATTGGAAAGAATATTTTATATAAAATAAATTTTATTTTGTATTTTTATCATGATATATATAAATAAATCATATATATATATAATATATATATATATATAAATATATATATATATATATATATATATATATATATATATATATATAGAAAATAGGAAGGAACTGGTTAGGTAAATAATCAAAAGTTCCTTATATATATATATATTATATTATTTTTAAAATATATATATATACATATATATATATATATATAATTATTTATTTAAAAAATATGATTCCAAATCGCTACATAAGAGGTCTCATGTTTCAAAACAAGAGCCGAAAACTTCAATATAATCCTTTAAATTAAATTGAGTTGAAATTAAAATGGGCTCCGTTCCATCTTCAAGCGAATTTTTTGTTGGAATAACGTATATCTGAAATTTACTTGTTTTAAAATTGAAATCAAAATCCCCATGGTAACAGCTATGGTGAATTGTCTAAATTGGGTATTGAGTGTAGGGTGTTTATAATAAGTAGCGGTATAGAGATACTTTCAAGGTGTCAAGTCGGGGAAAGGTGGGGTGTGAAAAAAATGAAACGGAAGATGTATTGGCCATCGTCTAGTTTGCTTGTCTATGGAGATTTATTTATTTATTTTATTTTATTTTATTATGAAAGAAATTTGCATAAAAAAAAAAAAAAAAACTTTCGTAACGTTTGTTTTTTGACGACTTCATAAAGGGTTATCTTATATGTAAGGTATTTAAACTACTAATTTAGGCTATGGATTATGAAGTGTGTTATGTTGTATGCATGTTTGTAGTTAATTATTCCTACTATGAATCTGATGATTGGGCTATTTGTTAAACAAGTTATATAAATTTTTTTTTTTTTTTTCTAATAATTCAAACCAAAAATCTGATGATGCCTACAAAAAACCGTTAACTCGTGTCTATTATTTAATAGATTATTATTATTTAGAAGTTTAATAATGTGCAATTTTTCATGGAGGCACAAAAGGGCATGGGTCATCCCAAATTTACATATTTGAATTTTCAATAATTTTAACATTTAACTTTTGGTGTCTTATTTGTTTCCTTCAAAAAAAAAAAAATATTTTGATTTGAAATTGAACCATTTTGTTTATATTTATATAGGAAATTTATTTTAAATAATTATTAATCTTTTTAAAATTATTGTTTTGGAAACAATGAATATCTTAAAATAATAGGAAATGGAATCATATTTTATTTAAATAATTATATTTATACCTTTGAATTTTTTTTTATTTTCTAATGGGCTTTTTTTATAAAAAATATTTATATATATATATACATATATTTATAAATATATTTATATATATAATTTATTTAAATATTTTAAATTATTTACAAACACACAAACATGTTGAACATGTACCACACATATATATATATATATATATATATATATATATATATATATATATTATATATATATATATATATAATATCTGAATTTTGTTGTTTATTTATCTTTTGAAAATAATTGAACACATAGATTTATTCTGTGTTTTGACAATGGATGCTTTTTTTTACACATACAATTTAACACAAATAATATATTTTGCATGTATTTTTTATTTTTAAAAGAACATTAATGAATATTTCATTGAAAGTTTTTTTTTATGTGAATTTTTTTTTAAATTATGTTATATTTAAAATTGAATTATTATAATTATTTTAAATATAATAATATGAAAATTCTTTTTTGGATTCCAAATTCATTTTTAAAATTTTACATTTTTTTATATTTATAAATATATATATATATATATATATATATATATAAAAACATTAACCAAATGAGAGTTTGAATTTTGGTTTAAATAAACACAAGAAAGATTTTCCATAAACATTTATAATTAAAATATAAATAGGAATTAAAGATAAACATAGAATTTTAATAAAAATAACAATATATATATATGAAATTTGTTTGGATTTTAAATGTCTATAGAAAATTATTATTTGAGAATTAACTATGGAAAGAATATAGAAAAATTTAAATAGAATATATATATATATATATATATATATATATATATATATATATATATATATATATATATATATAAATAAGAACTTTCTGTGCAAAATCGATATCTTTAAAAGGATAATTTTAACAGAAATAAATATATATTTTTTCCAAAAATAGAATTAAAATGATATTCTACCTATACACAATAACACAAACCGATACATATATATATAGAAATATATATATATATATTTTTCTTTCTTTTAATTTGGGATATCTATAAAAATATATATATATATATATATATATATATATATATATATATATATATATATAAATATTTTCAAGGTAGATGCATAATTTATCTATCTATATATTTCGTTTATTGAAAACATATTTTTATTCTTTTTATGGTTATCTATATAGATGAAAGGAAACTTTATATATATATATATATATATATATATATATATATATATATATATATATATATATATATATATCTTTAGAAATAATAAACATTATGATATTAATATATTTAAAAAGATAAATATCTATCTTGATTTGTTCCAAATGTTAAATGAAAAGGTATTTGAAGAGAAAAAGGTCGTTTAAATAAAATAGTTGCATCAGATGATTCTTAGAACCATGATTTTTTAAAAAAAATTTTTTTTTTTTATTTGTTTGTTTTTTTTGTTTCAGGTACATTTTTGAAAAAACCGTTTAGAACGAGAAAGAAAAATGTTCGAGATGAGTGAATGGTTCGTGATGTAAGTCTTATAATATAAAAGGTTAAGAGGATTGTATCTTTCTTTTACATTATTATTTTTAGAAAATTTGTTTTCCAAAAAAAAAAAGATCATGAAAGGTAGAGGATAAATAAATTTGAAAGAAAGGTTATTTTAAGGATCTGTGTGAAAGGTGGATTTTTTGCGTGAATCTAGGAAATATTTTAATTCAGAAATAGTGAGAAAAAAACATTGAAAAAATATTTAGAAATTAAAGAAAAAAGACAGAATGATGATCATGAATGAGAAATGGATTCGTGAATGAAAAATAGTCCAAATGATTTTTCTAATTGGAAATGGTCAAAGCAAAAGAGAGTTAGTTGAAATAAGGAGATCAAAAGAATTGAAAAAAAGAGATTTTGGGATGAGAATAAAAGAGAACAAAAACTTTGAAAAAAAGTTGAAAAAAAAGGCAAAAGAATGAGAAATTACAAAAAAATAAAAATGATTTGGATGAAAAGAATCAAAATGAAAGAAAAATGGAATGAATGAATAATGGAAGGAAGGAAAGAAATAATTAAAGAAAGAATGAATGAATAAGGGAAGGAAGGAAATAAAGAATTAAAGAAAGAATGAATGAATAAAGGAAGGAAGGAAGGAAAGGAAGAATTAACGAAAGGATGAATAAATAAAGGAATGAAGGAGAGAAAGAATTAAAGAAAGAATGAATAAATAAGGAAGGAAGGAATGAAGGAAAGAAAGAATTAAGAAAGAATGAATGAATAAGGGGAGGAAGCAAAGAAAGAATTAAAGAAAGAATGAATAAATAAAGGAAGGAAGGAAGGAAAGAATTAAAGAAAGAATGAATAAATAAGGGAAGGAAAGAAAGAATTAAAGGAAGAATAAATGAAAGAAGGAAATAAATAAATAAATAAAGAATAAATAAAGCAAGGAAGCATAAATAGAAAGACAAAAGAAAGGCAGAATGAATGAATAAATGATTGAAGGAACGAAGGAAGAAACGAAGAAAAAAAAGAAAAAAGAAAGAAAAAGGATGAAAAGAAAGATGAAAATGTAGGAAGAATTATGGGGAGAAAGAAATAAAGAAGTAATTGAGTAAAGAATTAAAAAATAGGATTAAAAGAAATAGATTGAAAGAAAAAAGAAAGAAAGAAAGAAAGAGAGACTAAAGAAATAGAAAAAGAAAAAGAAAGAAAGAGAGAAAAAAAGAAAGGTAGAAAAGAGAAGAAAAAAAGAAAAAAAGGAAAGAAGAAAGAAAGAAAGAAAGAAAGAAAGAAAGAGCAAACAATAGAAATAAAAACAAAGGAACAAAATAAAGAAAGCAAGAAAAAAAACAAGAGAAAAAAGCATTAATGCAGGAAGAAAGAAAGAAAGAAAGAAAGAAGAAAGAAGGAAAGAAAGAAAGAAGGAAAGAAAGAAGGAAAGAAAGAAAGAAGGAAAGAAAGAAAGAAAGAGAACATAAATAACTAAAAAAAAACAAAGAAAACAAAAAGAATCAAAGATACAAAGATAGAAGTAAAAGAATGATCCAAAATATTAAGAAAAAAATATAATAAAAGAAAGAAAAGAAAGAAAGAAAGAAAAAGAAATAAAGAAAAAAGTAAAAAGAAAGAAAGAAAAAGAAAGAAAGAAAGAAAAAGAAAGAAAGAAAGAAAGAAAGAAAGAAAAAGAAAGAAAGAAAGGAAAAGAAAGAATTCAGAATAAAGTAAAAATGGCGGAAAAACATCAGAATGAAATACAAAAAAGAAATAATGAATCGTCACCTGTGGGGTGAAGAGAAAGAGTGGAATAAAGTCAATAAAAGGAGTTAAAATATAAACTATACGAGTTCATGGGTTCGAAGAAATAAAAAAAGAAAGGAATAAAGAAAGATAAAGGGAGAAAAAACAAAGATTGTTTTAACAAAAGCTGAATTGAGAGAAGAAGAGAACAAGTTAAATATAAAAACAAAGAAAGAAAAACGAAATTGTATTTTTTTAAAATTAAAGGAAAAATGAAAAGGGTGGAAATGTAAAGTAAATACGGGAAGGAAGAAGTTGAAAGTGTGGGAAAATAGAAAAACGAATAAAATAAGAAAGAAAAAAATGGAGAAAAAAAAAACGAAAAACAAAAAGAAGATATATTAACACATAGGGAGAAAGAAGAAAAGGAAGGAGCAGAAACAAGAAAACAATTTTCAGTGAGAAAGAAGAAGAAAAATCTGAAGAAAAAAGAAAGAGTTTTAAAGAAGAAAAAAATGAAAATATTTATGAACGATAAAACTGCGAAAGAACAAAAAAATATCTCGTTATTAAAAGAATAAAAGGCAGAAAGAGGTTTGAAAAAATGATAAAAAATGACGTTCATGAAAAATTAAACAAAGAAAGAAATTAATTAAAAAATGTTTTAAGAAAGAAAAAAAGAATAAATGAATGAAAGAAAAAAGTTCAAGGGAAAAGAAAGAGTTTGAAAGAAAGAACTTGAAAGAGAGAAAAATAAAAGAACGTTTTAAACAAAGAAGAAGAAAAATCTAAAGACAGAAAGAAAGATGTTGACAAACAGCAAGAAAGAAACTTTTAAAGAAAGAAAGACTGGATGAATGAATTAATGGAAGAAAGAAAAGAAGTTTAAAAAAAACGAAAGAGATTGAAAGAAAGAGGTTGACTAAAAGAATGACCCTGAAAGAAAAAATAAAAAAAAGAAAATTTTAATGAAAGAAGAAAAAAAATTTAAAGAAAGAAAGAATGATGTTTACGAACAGGAAGAAAAAAAGTTTTAAAGAGAAATGAAAGAAATTTAACGAAGA